AAATTTGAAGACACACCATCTTTACAGAAGATAGAGTAATCTGGGGGAGCATGGTATGTACATACCTAAGGCTTAAATAGAAGTGGGATTACATATCCACTATAGTGTTTTAGAGCAATAAATTGCTTAATACATGTTGGTGTTGTATGACATATACAACATCTGATGTTAGCTCTTAAAGAAGATGAATAAGTTAATAAGGATCTTGTGATACAGAAGGCTATAGAACAATTGCCTTTTGGCCATAGAGAGTAGCAATAGCCCCATATGAAAGAAGTGCCATGAGGCCCTAGAAGGTCTCAAAGAATAAGAAAATCAGATATTTCTAGTGACTAAGGAGTCAATGTTAAGAAAGAAATTCAAATGAAGGGTAATTCCACCTCATTTGAAAAAGCCATGAGAGGCGTTCACTCATCTAAATGGCAAGAAGCAAAGGAAGATGAAATAAAATCGATAAATACCAACGATGTTTGGGACTTAGAAGAAATTCTCAATGAAGCCAAAACAGTAGGCTGTAATGGGTCTGCAAGACAAATGTGACTCAAAGAGAAATATAGAAAGCTATAAAGCGCCACTTGTAGCGAAATGATTTACACAAAGAAAAGGAATAGATTATAATGAGCATGCAATGATTCTTTTAGAATCATAATGGTGTTAGTGGTACATTACGATTTACAGTAACATCAAAAGGATGTAAAGACACATTCCTCAACGGGGATTTGTATGGAAAAGTTTACATGGCATAACTCAAAAGGTTTTATCGTGGAAGGAAAAGAACGTAAGGGATGTTGCCTAGAGAAATCTATTTATGGATTAAAGCAAGTTTCAAGACATTGGTACTTGAAGTTTGACAGTACAATAAGAAAGTTTGGGTTTAAAGAGAATGTAGAGGATAATTGTATTTATGCAAAGTTTAAACATGGGAAATCAATTTCCCTAATCCTGCACGTGGATAGCACCTTGCTCGCTAGTAGTTGTGTTAATCTACTGTTGGAGAAGAAGCAGTCCTTGTCCTCAAGTTTCAATGAGAATGATCTTGGTAAAGCGTCATTCGTTCCAGAAAATGGAACTTACCGAGACAAAAGAAAAAGGGGTATTAGAACTATCTCAAGTGTATACTTAGACAAGATTCTAAAGAAATAAAGTATATATGTGAATAAACCTGCGTCTGTTCCTATAGTCAAGGGTAATAGTTTTGGAAACTTTCAGTGTTCCAAGAACCAATGTGAGATCGAAAGGACGTCCTATATGCTTTCAGCTATTGGAAGCTTAATGAGTGCTTATAAGTAAGAACTTACCCTGACTAGTTCATGTCCGGGATGTTTTAAGCGAAGTCCGGTCAGATATAGATCACTTGAATGGAGTTGAGAATGTTTTGCAATTGTGCAAAGATTTATAGGCCTCATGGTGAGTAAGAAAGAATAAGTACTCTCAAATAGTTGTGGGTACAAATGTTAAATTTTGGCGAGATGTTTAGTGAAACCCACGTAGTAGCTAACACTCGCAGTTGGAGTTTTATTATGGAAAAGCTCCAAAGAAATAGTTATGGTGTCATCAAAGATGCATACCCATAGTATAGCTTGTTATGAGGCTTAAGGACAGGCAAAATGGTTAAAAGAACTTACATCTGGAATTGATGATGGTATACAACAGCAATAACCATTTAAGTGGTTCTCTCCTATAACAACGGGTCAAGTGTGCTGCCAAACACATTGACGTTAAAGTTATACGTTGTGAAGGAGAAAGTCCGGAATCATACTAAAAGTATTGAACAAAAAAGTAACAAGCAAGTGCTTGCGGATCCGCGTACAAAAGGCTTATCACCCAGTGTGTTTAGAGAACACACAGTCGACATGGGTTTATGGTATAGTCTATGATTTCCGGACAATAAAGGGTTCAAAAGTTAAAGAATCTGTTTCAGAACAGAGATGTGTATTGTAGCTGTTAAGTCTATCGGCGATTGACCGTGACGATGAAGCATGCTCTATGCACTAATCTGTGACGGAACAAATAAAAGTGAATGTGATTAAAGTCAAAGTTTAAAGTTAAAGTATGAGTTGAGATCAAGGGGGAGAATGTTAGAATTGATCTCATCCGTCTTGACCTAACGGACGAGACAGACCCCTTGATCGCGTCCTGATCGGAGACGTCCAACCATCTAGTGGCTAGTGGGCCCCCGTCGCACAGTGCCTATAAAGAGGAGGTGGGGCAAAACGGCTCGAACGACGAGGTTCACAGCCGCCGCCACAACCCCACTGTCTAACCCTAGTCCGATCGAGAGGGAGGCACTGCCAGCGGCGAGAAGCGCCACTGCCTTTGCCACCACCGCCGGTCTTCACCGCTACACCAATCGTCGCTGTCCGTGCCAGAGCTTCACCGACGAACCAGCGATGGCAGGGAGCTCCTCCAACCCCTCCGACGGTGAGATGCTCATACATCTCTCTCTCTCCTTTCTCCGAAGCAAGCTCTAGGTCTATTTGATTCAATTAGTAAAGATATCACCCTTTGATCTACACCTAGATGGTCCAAAGTGTTTAACAAGATTATCTCCCGTGATCTAATCCCGCCCCTAATCTTGGGGCACACTGATTGATGAAAAAGAACAATCGACAAAAATTAGTGTAGGATGTAAAACCGGATCACCATGCACGAAACGCAATTGTTGCAAGGGATCACCGACCACAGAACCGAAAGAGTCCGACAAATCACACATACCACTTCATTACTCTGCCATCTCAATCTCCTCTTTTTTTCATTGCATTTTCTTCTCTACTAATAAAGATGGAATAACAAACCTCTATACAAATACATACACCAGACGCCACGGGCAGCAAGGAACAAAACAGGGGAGAAGAGGTGTGGGTCCTCCGGCCTCCCCTTGTGAGTCATCAACTCTTAAAGAAGGCTGGGCCTGATCCGGTCTGTTAACGAGGGCATTTCCGGGCAACCTGGGTAGGCCCCGAGGCGCAGCAGCAGGCTAGGACAAAAAGTTAGTGCTTCTTGGCTATGGGTCATATGGCAACACCTCTAAGGCCTTGTTTATTTAGTTAGGTGAAATTTGAAAATTTGGTTATCGTTGTGTTTTTGTTTTTATTTAATAATTAGTGTTTAATCATGGACTAATTAGGCTCAAAACATTCGTCTCGCGATTTTCAACCAAATTGTGTAATTAGTTTTTTTTCGTCTACATTTAATGCTCTATACACGTATCGTAAGATTCGATGTGATGGCTATTATAACACTTTTTAGCAATTTGGTTTTGTAACTAAACGTGGCCTAAGGCCATCTCCAGTGTACTTCCCTGCCTGCTAGTACACCTGTCCAAGTTGGTGGTCATGTAGCATGCCCTAACTGTAATTCATTCAACACACATGAAAATGGATACATGACAGGGCAAAAAAAATTTCCTATATAGTGAGATTGAACGATAAAAAACAAGACTGTCGTTTCTGTAATATGTACTCAACTGTGCTATAATGCACAAGGTCACTATCCAAATTATACCAACAGATTCTGCCTCTAGTTTCATCCAGCCGTGTGCTCTAGTGCTACGGTAGTGTGACGTTCGCCATTCCAATCCCAGCTTCCATGAAGATGGATTTCCTTTGTCATTCAGGTCAAAGATCAGATGGCATGAGCTTACCCTGTACTTGGCGCCGGACAACTTCTACTCGGGTTTCCATGCCTTCCATGTGGCTGGATTACAGAGTCAGCAATACCCTTAGGACCTCTTTGGCTCTGGGTCCTTCCTGTCGGTCTCCCACGGGCCGACAGGTGGCTACTGTTCATACCGGCTCCCCTGGCACCTATCGGCCCGTGGGAGGCCGACAGGGGCGGAAGCCGGAGGAGATACAGGTCCTTACTTTCTCCACTGCCTGAGCCACCTTCATTGTCATGTCTTTTGACTATTTTCAGCCTAATTTTTTTAATTTGACCTTTTTTTAAGAAAATTTACGTTTAACCCCTTGAAAATTTAAACTCATCTTTAGACTCCCGGAGGTCGGCGCCAGGACTCATGGGTGATGTTGACACCGTAGATCTTGACGTCGAAATGTCTAACCTAGATCCTAAGATGGTGTTGACCTGGCTAATACCTCAACGCCATAATACACGTAGACGTCTGCGGCGCAGAGGCTGCGTGACAGCCAGTACCCTGCGCTGCCCCTCTGGGGCTTTGTCTCGGAAATCGTGGAAGAGAGAGACAAGGAAGAGGACACAGAAGAGGCAGGCACCGTTCCGTCCACTACTGCGGCTGCGGCGTGTACTGCTAGGCTTGTGAAGGAGTGAGGCATGGGCCTCTAGGCAGTAGCTATGCTACTAGTAGCTGCTAGCCTTTCGCTCTCCGCGCTGCCCTGTCCACTCCCTGCGCTCTCGGCTCTCCCCACCGGCCGGGCCGGGTCGATTTCCATGCACACTTGACACCAGTCACCGGCTGCGCGCCCGCGTGCATGCATGCATGCATGGCTGCATCTATCTATCTTGTACTGTCTCACTTCAAGTGGGCTGCTGCGCCTGGGCACGACAGCCGGATCTCTGGTCCTGTCTTCATGAGATGCACACACACACATTTGACTTTTCCTTGGCCTCTTCCACTGTTCCTTCAGCACAAAAAAAAAAACTAGTTTTATGTGCACTTGGGAAGAACGAAGAACAAAAGGGGAAGACGAAGACAACATGCCTGACAGTTGGGCGTCGGCAGGAGGCAGCTTCCGGTGGCGACCGGCGGTGACGCGGCGTCCGACGTCTCTATGTCTTATCCCCGCTTCCTGCTCGTATTGTGCTGCTGTCGTGCTGTGTGCGAATGTGCGACGCTATGAGAGCCGAGAGCATGCCATGCGTTCTAGACGAGAAGCCAAATAGTCAAGGAGACTTTTTTTTAAGGGGAAAATAGTCAAGGAGATGAGTAAAAATACTAGCCTACCGCAGCACTAGTACAGGTACTTGAGTCAAATTGTAAAAAATTAGGCTATTTTCAGTGGGTGGGCTTCAGTGTTGAAGACCTACTCATCGAACGAGATAAACGATGGCGGGGAGAACAGCAGGTACAGGTACTTGAGTGTCTCCGCCAGGAAAAAGCTCTGCATCATGTCGTCTTTTGTACCAGTATTCACCTAAATACCCAAAAGTTTTTTTATAAAAAATAATATTTATTAGAAACATTTCGAAGGATGGCAAGTTGGCAACTATGTTGGAATGATGAGAACTTACATCTCTCAGACCAACATATCCAGATTCTACACGGGAATTCTTCTCGAATGCTTGGAATATGTCCCAACCCCAATCTTGGTATGTTTTATTACCGGTTAGGCGCCACAAATACATAAGTGACTCAATAGTCTCTGGTCTAAGGATGTTCCATGATGTGCCCACGACCATGTCCTATGCCAGTAAAGAAATAGCATCCCATTATGTTAAGCGCAGAGGAAAACATTAAAATGAAAGAACTATACAGGTTGTAACTGAACCTGTCCGCCACGGAAATAATAGTTCTCTCCAGCCAATTTTGTAGGAGTTGATTGGTAGAAGTTATAACATGTCCATGCAAGCTACATCAAAGTGATTATAAAAGGAAAACAAATAAGAACACGAAATTAAGAAAGAGTAGGTGAAAAGACGCAAGTTCTGTACAAAACAGGAATATTATTAGTCCCTTCAGATTATATTTCTAACATGGCTTCACAGCTACAATGGGAAGCTATGCTGGTTTGTGGTTACTGTTTTCTGATACATAATTTATCCAGTCTAAACATTGTGAAATTATCATGGTAGTATAATTTGGGCAGTACAATATAGTATACTAGTTATATCATTAACATAACATCTTTAGCAGGCTAACTCAGTATAAAGCTGACACCCAAAAGGTCATTGCATTTTACATTCATTAAAAAAAAAAAAAATCCATATTTTTCGGTGAACCAACATGCGACATGACACCTTATATCATGCTCAAGTGTGTCATTCTGTGATTCTGGGTTAATTTTTAGGATCTTGGTTTATAGGTAGCAGTTACCTGATACAAACAGCAGTTGCAGTAACAGAAAGATTAGGAATAGTGATGTGAATAGGCATAAGCCTCCAATGGTGGAAAATTAGAGAAATATGTCGCACTGTACGGAAAAATTTGTAGTATAATATGCAAAGTTACAACTACAACTGGTTTAAATGTCATACAAATCAGCAAAAAAAAAAAAACACATATGGTGATAAAAGAAAGATCACCTCTCTTGCAAGATTCATAATTTGCTCTGCCTTTTCGGGGCCATAGCCTGACGCTCCCAATGCCAGCATACCGGGCACAAAGCATGCAAGTTCATCCATCTGTTCTAGTTATAAGCTGAACAAATCACAACTTCAGAAAGATATATAGGACAACTATTAACAACAATCCAGTGTCAATAATTAGCTCCATGGGGATTCTTTACCTTCTAAGATGACGAATCCCCATTCTTCTCACACACATATTAGAAATTAGAAGAAGTTTTCCTTGTCAAACTTAACAGGCCTTCCATTGACATTTCCCACATTTCCGTAACATGGTTAAAAGGACAAAACGGATTTTATAAAACTTTGACGAACATAACTGACAAACCGTCTGAACAAAGGATGATTATAGTATTGAACCTGTAATGTTTGACACTTTCAGTTTTGTTACCCTGTATCCATACCTTGAGCAAGTATTCATAGAAACTGTGGTATGAATAAGGCAGTTAGATGAAAAACAACTTCACACTAATCTAGTTAGAAAGTGTGAATTTGCCTATCTATAAAGCAGATTTTCAAGTTTTGGAAAATGTATATCTTCTGAAATTGCCTGACGAGTTAAGAAAAATTATGATACCTATCTCCCATAGCACCAAATGTAATTTTTGAGTGCAATTTCACAGCTCCCGAATGAGGATTTATATTAATAGGAAGCAAGCCATCACTAGGGAATATCTTCTGAAATTGCCTGATTACATTCTCCACCTAAAATTTAACAATGCTCCCAGTGAAATTTCCATAGTATGAATAATCAAATCAAAGGGGTGGATGATTAGAAAGCATATCAGCAGAGTAAATGGCTTACAATAAGTGAAAAATTAGGTTTCATGAACACTAGTTGAGAACGATCACCAGTTTGTGTTTACATTGTACACAGTCCCTGTACTGTTCATTGTACAATTCAATGAAAAGATGGTATTGGTATGCATACCTAACCAAGTGCTACAGCATTAGGAAAAGGGTAGTGGGGTACAGGAGAAACTAGAGAGGCTGCACTACAATTCACAGAGAATAAGAAAATGTTTTTTTTTCTGGTGTAAATACATGATTCAATCTATCGCACAACAGACACTTTGTTGTGGACTCTTTCGTAGGCCGGCAGTACCGGCGCAGGGCCAGGCGTGCCGCTTCCAGCAGTGGCTAAGACGCCTCTAGTTGTTTTTAGAAGTCAATAAGTTAGGAGGATTTTTAGGATCTCAGCCTTGGTTTGTTAGAAAAGCACCTGAACTATAAAGGTGGCTTAGAAAGGATGTAATCGGTTATCGAAGAAGAATAGAACCTCCCGAGCGGGTGGGGTTCCTCTTCGACGGTGGCTGTGTGCGGTTCTGCCGCTGCCGCCGGCGATAACTCCACCGCGCCTCGCTACCCTCTCCGTTCCAATTCCCAGTCTCAGCTCCTTCTCCGTTCTCCCCTGCGTACTCCACGGCGGCAACGCCGTATCACACTTATATATAGTACTAAATAGAAAAAAAAAACTGAGAATTCAACATAACTTAATTGGCCCTCAAATTTAACCTGACTTAATTGAGCTCTTCCTCTTCCCCAATCTACTAGCCTCATTGTCCTGGACTCAAGCTCCATCTGAACCAACTCCTGACATGACTAACATTCTAACACTCAGTGAAACAATGACTAGATCATTGGACCACCAAGTCTATCATCATTTTCTTCATATAGGTATCTAGTACTTTAACTGCAACCAGCAAGAACAAAATGAAGAAACCAAGCATGACTCTTATGCTTTGCCTGTAAAATCATTATGTGATGGCAGTTTGAAAAACCTATTGCTGATACTTTGGATCTCCAGTCCTCTGTGATAAAACTATAAATTCAAGTTGCGCTGTGCCTGAATCTGCAAGTGTACTGCCACCCTGTAAAATGGAAGTCCATAGATAAAATATGACAATGTCAATTTCTAACAAGATTAGTACAATAGTTAACTTGAATATATCTATGTTTACAATAAATAGAAGGTCAGAAATCCTCAACCCACAACAATTATGAAAAACATATTTCCTAAAAGTAATGGTTAAAAAATAATTATGATTGCTATTACAATGAAGTTCTTTGCAAACTACCTTGCCAGTTAGAAAATAGAAAAGTAGAGCCTTACACCATTCCATCCTGGATTATTAGTCTGGCCTTGAGCTAGGTTGATTCTATTGTATGGGATACCAGATGATGTATCCCAGGTGGGTAATAGTCGATCAGTGATGTCTCTTGCTTTCTCCAGAAACATTTTATCAGCTGACAAATCATATGCACTGAGAAGACCTCCAACTTTTTTTTTTTGAAACAATAGCAGGAGCTCTGCCTTTCAATTAAGACGAATGAAGTTTATATACAAGCAAAGGTAGCCAAGCGTGGCGCCAAACACCACGAAAGGTTACCCACCCACACAACGCAGCAGAGTACACATTACCATGAGTCATCGTTGCTAAGCATAGCTGTAAAGCAGCCAGCAGCTCCGATTTCCCATGGCAAAACACCGACAACCCATCCTAAGATGTCAGACCAACGGGTCCGAAGCAGGAGGCTGCAACAGGTCATCGTTGCCGAGCTCAACGGCTCCGCGAAGAGCAGCTCTGACTTCCTGCCTTGATCCCACGCCCCGCCCGCGGCGATTACCAAGCCTCTAAAGCTGAAAACCCAGCCGTTGAAGAAGGAGGGTTCGACACGTGTCATCGTTGCCGAGCTACATCCCCTGATGCAGCAGCTCCGACTTCACGATGCAGAACTCGCCGTCTCGCAGCAACCGGGAGCTGAGAGGCGGAGGACATCCGCCAAAGGAGACATCACGGCCGAGACGAATTTCCACAGCGACGCCTTCAGGAAGGGTACGACGCCGATTGCGTCGCCGTCGCTTGTCCAGGAATGGACCGGGTTTTCACCCGTGGAAGACATGGCTAGGGGCACAAGAACACGACGCCCCCAACAAGGAAAACGGCGCCCATAGGCGTTGCCGTCGCCAAGGCTTTCGCCCGAGGTGCCCCTAGCACATACGTCGAGCCAAGATGCTGGATCGTAGCCTATCGCCACCGTCGTCGTCACTGCCATCCCGCAGAAGCTTCTCCAGAGAGGCATCGACGCCGCCGTGCCGCTCACAAGCAGCATGCACAACAAGGCGTCGCGCCGCGCCACCCCTCCGATCGGGCAACATGCGACCGGACTTACCCGCCACGCGCGTCACCCCGCCAAGACGCCGGTTGTCGCCCATTAACGTCGCGGCTCAAGCACCCGCCGTCGACGCTGCCGACCTCCGCCAGCCACCGTCAGGCGCATGCCCCACCACGGGCGCCGCCCCCTGCCCCGGGGGCACCGGATCTGGCCATGGCGCGGACCAGTGTCCCCAAAGAAGCGCCGCCGCCCACGCCATGGTCGAGGAGGAAAGGGGAAGCGGAGGAGGAAAAAGGAGCCCGCCCCTCGCCACCGCCCGCGCTGCATGGGCAGCGGCAGCCGCGCGCAAGCGGCAAAGCGAGTTGCCCCGCGCCGAGCCCCACACGGCTCGCGAGCGAGGGCACGCCCGCCGTCCCCGCTGGCATAAATAACGCCGCCAACATCGCTGAAGCGCGAGAAGAGGAAGAGGCTCACCCCAGCCGACGTAGTGCCACCGCGCGCGCTTCTGTGGCGCAGCGCCCTGCACCACGGGCGCCGTACCCCGCGGATCCGCCGACTACGCGGCGCCTTGGACAGGAGCCGCCACCACCGTCGCCCAGCGCCCGCCCAGGCGCGGCCCGCCGGAGATCCACGCGAATCCGGTCGTTGGACCGCCGGATCCGGTCACCGAGGCGAGGAGACCGCCGCCGAAGACGCCGGCGCCGCCACCAGCCTCAGTGACCTCGCCGAGCCCCAGGAAACCGCACGCGAGCTCGTCCTCGACCGTCGCAGCTTCCACCGCGAAGAAGAGCCTCGCCGCCGCCCTCCCGGCAAGCCGCACGGCCATGCCGGCGGCCCGCTCCGGCGACGGCGCGGCAGGAGAGAGGGAGGGAAGGAAGAGAGGCGGCTAGGGTTTGAGTCGCCTCCCGTGTCGCCTGCGTGGGGGCGACACGGGGGCCTCTCTGTGCCTAGGCCAGAAGACCTCCAACTACTCTGAATATAAAATAATAAGAGTCCAAGCTTAGACAATTTATTAACACAACATAGTTACCCCAAAGTAAAGGGAAAAAAAGACACTACGATCCAAAGGCAAAGTATTCTGGATAATAACATAATATAACAAGTTAAATATTATAACAAACCTTATTGTTGTTTCAAACACGCTTGCTTCGTAATCCTTGTCAAAGTTTAATGATTCTGTGACCCAGCTGTCATCATCAAGAAACACTAGTTAGAGCAGAAATATATGATATAACTGATAAATGCGAGTATTATCTACTTTCAATAATCAAGGGGTTCACATGCTGTCAGGGGACAATGCCATATGGCCATATTTACATTTTTTCAAGAGTTATGCCATATTTACTAGCAGAAATAGAAGTCAACAATTGTAACATTCGATGAAAAAGAACCAAACTTCATTGATTTAGAAAGATCCGACACTTAATGAAATGCAAGGATACATAACCAAATAGCGTACTGACAAATTTAGGATGATCTCCTCAGTATAGGGAGATTTAGATCACACTCAATAAGCATACTATTGGCTGAACTATGAGGCAGAACCGAAGAAGGACCCTAAGATTGACATCATCTCTATATTTAGTTTTATCAAATGGTGCTAATAGAAGCGCAATAATTTGTATCATGTAAACAGTTGCTCAAGTTGATAGCTTTCTAGTTACTTCTGCATATAATGGGAATGTTTACAGCGATCTAATATGTTTCCTAAAATAACAACAAAAGTTAAACTACTGGATACAAATGAAAGATATGGTAACCACTAGCCAGATCAAAACTTAACAATAAACTATGTGTCTAGTCCAACCAAGATGTGGAATAAAGCACAGAAATTAATCCATTTTGCAAAACCTGTATTCTTCAACTCTGCAATTAAAGTTCAAAGGGATGCAAGTGAACAGCCGCTTCAGTACAAATGACTATATCTTAAAACTTCATGCATAGTACTGCATGCACGATCACTTGTCTTGCCCATCCAAGCAAGTGATGGCAATACCTAACATTGGGGCTTATGAGTTGGGAACTCGGGAGACCCACAGAAACATTTTTTGCATGGAAAACTCTCCAAAAACAAGCAAAGAATGTATATTCTAGTGAGGGGAACCAACTTAGCTCTACCATTTGTAGGACCAGCAATGCTTCTATGCTAGTAATTAAAGGGCAAACTGACAATGTGGTACCCAAAAGATGAACATAACATGACTAGCCACGCAGACGAGATTAAAACTTAATCTAGTTTCTTGAACATGGATGAGATGGAGCTGTCTTCTGTTTATGGTAACAAATGGCATTGAAAAAGGAGCTTACTCTCTAGCCTTCTGGAATTCATCTTTTAATCCCATTATATGTAGTGTATCAAGTGAGTCCACAATTGTTGCCCCAAGGCCACCAAAACTATTGACACCATTCTTTGACTGAGGCTGGACAATTAAGGGATGCAAAAGGCAAAATGAAATAATTTTAAAGCTTGTTTTAATACAATTTAAAAGAAAGCAGCTACCAGAGTAGGTACAAGTGAAACAAACCTGGAGCTCATCCTGTCCCCATGCATACTTTACATATGAGTTCCAAGCGTGAAGCATAGCTTCCTTAACCTTTTCTCTCCTCACATTATTGACAGGGTCAACTTCTAGATGATGTTTCTTGATGATGCTTTCGATATTTAGATTTTCATCCAGAGAAATTCCAGCCATTCTTAACTACATAAAAGTGGCAACCCACTAAAAGGTTTAATTGGCTGTAAAAGAATCAACATAACTCACATAGTCGCCTAGGCAAAGCAATATTATAAAGTGCACATTAAGTTGTAACAAAACGTGCACACACATGTACCTGGTCATGCAGCTGATTTACCTCCTCATCCAATCGGGATATCTCAGCCTGCAAGCATATAATAAAAAAATAAAACAAAGTTGTTAATTGACATGATGGAACAAGTTAATATATTTATACAATGCACTGCATAAAGGGAAGAAAATCTAATATAGGACTACATATTATTTCACTCCAAAACATCATTTATACTTTTATACAGAATAATGAAGTGTAAACCAGCTGATGAAACAGAAGATTAAGCTAGTCGAAATTCTAATGACTTGTGACAGATGCCAAACAAGCATCCCGATCAGTTCCTAAATTCTAACCCACAAAAAAATACAATCTTTAATCAAAGTCTTCAGCTATCAGTAAACCTTCCGCGTTTCAGGTACCAAAAGGCTAGCTAGCGCAGGCAATCAGGCAGATCCCCTGCCAATACGGATCGGATCGGGCGCGTCGTTAGGCTCAGTCTTACCTCATAGTCGCGAACGAGGGAGAGGCGGTCCCAGGCGGCGACAAAGCCGACGAGGAGGAGGGCAAGGCGCGCCGGCCGCCTAAGGTAGTACGACGGGCTCAGATGGCGCCACGCTATGGACGATGACGACGAATGCGACCGTCGACCCATGGGCAGCGCGGTCCACGGAAGATCGCCGGAAGCTGCCTTGCCGCTTTTTTTTAAGAGAAGAATGACTTGTTCGCTCGTCTAAACTACCGTTGGCTGATTTGCTGTCTAGCATATAAGCCCAGCCAACAAGCGGAAATCACCGGCGAGGGGCGATAATCCCCACCCGAACAAATTTCCAGGCAAGCCGGGTCGCCGGGAAACGAGAACTAAGTGCGCCAGGTACCAATTAGATAGCCAAACACAAACGCCAACAACATATTGTATTGTTTGTTAACCAACAAAACACCACCACCTTAGCATGTTGTTGTTCACCAACAAAACACCATCACCTAGTGGCTGAACTGTAGCGACCTCTGTTCCAGAAGCCATCATTAAGCTTCAGAGTCTGACACATGATAGTCTGCTAGTCAACACTACATCATCTTTAAAGCACATCCGAGATCCAATCGATGTCAACACCCATTGAGGGAGAAAGCCTTAAACGAGGGAGGCCGACAGATTTTTTTTTTCATTTTTAACCTAATAGTACCGTGGGAAAACTTTTTCCAAAACTAACTTGTTTGGTCACGATAAACTCCCAGTAGTGGGAGGATCAACTTCTCATGCAGGGGCAGCGGCCACCTCTTCTTGGGCACATAGACTTGCTTGATTAGTGCCTTCCCCTTCACATGAGCCGGGAATGTCCTCAATGTTATTGGTTGTTGCTTCGCATTGTTGGAGCTCGATTAACCGAAGTTCAGTCGGCTAAAGATCGAAGGATGTGAAGAAGGACCTGCAGCAACTCCTTGCATTTGTTGCATCATATGTGTCATTGGCGGATATGACACCCACACACCAAAGGGCCCTCACATAGGATGAGTAGGAGGTTGAACTAGAGGACCCTAATGAGACACATGAGAAGATTTCCTCTGCTGATCCGAACACGAAGCTAGTACAATTTGCTTTGGCGAATCGTTTTGCTTGGGAGGTGAGCGCTCTGTTTTTTAAGGGCCGATTCAAGGAATCGACCTTTTTTTTCCTTCTTGTATTTGTCCATGGGCTTGTCAAAAGTGCAACGATATCTCACCATCTTTCCTATATTTTTGGGTACATTAGTCTTCCATGTGCCAATCTCCGAACATTGGGGGCTTGTAGGTGTGCATATGTCCCCCAGGGTTGTCTGGGCCAACCAAACCAGCCTTGCCGGTTCCAGGAGTCGGCCTGGCCGCCTGGGCATGCGCAGAACCGGTCAGGCTAGTTTAGGGAACCAGCCTGGCCGGTTTGGCCACCTCTAGCGCTGCTTTGCTGTCGTTTGCCTACCTTTGAAGCTTGTTTCTTGCTGGTCTCTTTTGCAGAGAAGGACCAATGGTAATTGTGAGCTTGTTCTTGCCCATCTCATCTTTCTCAAGAGCAACTTGACAACGAACATTTTTCTTCTCATCCTTCCTTGGCTCACGAATCACCACATTCTTCCCAACGGTTGATTTAGCTTGATCTGGCCTAACCAAGATAGCTGGATTGTTGCGTTCCAGCACATTCATCGCGAAGGGAGCTTTATCAACCTATCTCTCTCCTAGACTCGATAGTCTCTCGTTGAGAGCCGATTGGAGCTACCAAAGAAAAATATTGCAATCGTTAGTGGCATGAGAACCAGAATTATGCCATTTACAATAAGCTCTTCTTTTCAATTCCTCAGATGATGGTAAAGGATGAGTCAATCTAATATATCCTTTTCTAAGCGATTCATCAAAAAATTTATCACACATAGCCGGATCAAATCAAAGGTAAATTTCATATCATCTTTCCGACTCTTTTTAAATCAGATCTTTCCGACTCTTTTTAAATCAGCTTAAGAGATGGTATGGTTACTTTTTTTGAGTAAGAGGCCATGCAAATTCATCACTAGATGTAAAAAAAGATTGAGTGTTGGATCCTTTAATCGGCCGTGATCCTCTGACATATGTAGAGAGGGTGATCTTACCCAATAGAAAATAAGTCCAGATCGTAATCTCCAAGTTTTTCATGTGAAAATACGTCCAAAAACCAATTTGAAAAGTTACTGGTTCGGACTCGAACAGGGAAACAGGCCTGGACAGCTTCCAAACCGGGCAGGCCGGTTTCGTGGGCTCCAGAGGCCAGCTAGGCCGAGCAGCAGCAGTGCGGGACTGGCCTGGCTAGGTTTCAAACTGGCCAAGCCGGTTGGGCAGGCGGAGGCTAGAAGGACTGGCCTAGCCGGGTCCCAAATAAATCTTCTCAATTGGATTCGCATTGAGTGATCAAGAACTTGCTATATGCGGTCTCGGAGGGAAGTAATGTGTTAGTCGGATGGAAATAGGTGAACTGACATAGGACCGGAACGGGGTAAACTGAACGCTCCAACATAAAGCTTGTGATCAATAGTAAAACATCGATTTCTCTTTACATATTGATAGAGCTTGATCCTCAACTATTTATCGCGATATTTTCTTACAAAATCTTGTTATGGAATCTATAAGAACATCTGTTTATTTTGGTCCTGCATTTGCGTTAACGCCATCGCGTATCCCACCACCGTCAGGGGCCACTTTCATGGGCCGTAATACTCTCATGGGCCTACCCTAGGCTTTGGGTGGAGTCTCGTCCAGGCCCAGGTCTGGCCCTGCATAGACTAGCATCTCGAGAATCCTTGCCGTACTGTACCCTAAAAGAGGTGAGTCCGAGACTTTGATGGGATTTGCAGCAAGTCAGACTCACTTTCGCAGAGCACTCAGCATCTAGCTTGACTAGCTAGCAAGGGTGAAGGGGATCAATTTGGCCACGTAACTACCTTCTGTGACATCCTAACATCTGTTACGGTACCTTAGGTTGCTTGCTGAGCCTACCAATGCAAGTGGAAGAAGTTCATAGATGCCTGGTTTCTCTGCTTTGGATGACAGATGACTGTGCCCCGCTTGCAACTCTGATAGCAAAGCTTGTCCACTTTGTAAACAAACCGTGTTTGTCATATTATCATACTCCCTTCGTTTTAAATTATAAGTCACTTTAATTTTTTTTATACATCTATTTTACTATACATTTAGATATAATAATACATATACATACATAGTAAAATGGTTGAATCAAAAAAGTCAAAACAACTTATAATTCGAAACGAATAGAGTAGTAACTAAACGTGGCTTATAGGTAGGCACTGTACCTTCCTATCATTGTTTCGTAAGTGTTTTTTTTGTTTGTTAGGATACATAGGTGAACATATTTATATTACTTACTACTCCCTTCATTTCAAATTATAAGTCGCTTTGACTTTTTTGATATGCCTATTTTTCTATGTATCTGGATATAATAATATGTTTAGGTACATAGCAAAATAGATAAACCAAAAAAGTTAAAATAACTTATAATTTATAACGGAGGGAGCAGTTATTATCGCAGGAGCTAGGAGACGGTGAGTTTTGGTTGACCGCGTGCCGCTGAGTACTACTATTGCTCTTGTGATAGCAGCAAGGAGGAGGAAATGGCTCTCTCATATGGAGAAAACAGTGATGCTGATACTGATGCTGATTTATTCAACCTGTTCACTTATTAGTTTTAGTCAGGTCTTATCAGTCAGCCAACAGTGTTTTTTCTTTCACAACAAATCAATATCAGTCGGGCTTATCAGCCTAGAAACCAACCATCAAACAGACTGATTATGAGAGAAAAATAGTGTTATTTTGCTGAAACCGTATAAGTTCAAGCGAAAGCATCGTTATCAGAGGGGAATCCGGACATGAACGCCGTGCCCGGTGCATGCCCCCACACACCTTGTCTAGTCTAGAACACAAGAATTGTGTCCCATCTCTAAATTAGGCCAAATTATTTCCGTCCAAACTTAAAACCATCGCCATCAGATTTCAAGATCAAATTTACAAGAAAATTGCGCAGCTACGTACCCACACGTGACCGTAACACTTCACTTTATTCTAGCACCACCACCACCACCGGGCCGGGTATGAGCTGAATCTAGAACCGGTTGGTGCGTGAAGCTCACATTTGGAATCTAAACGTGTCGGAACGAGTGGATTTCATTTCATACGTACTCCTCAGTCCTAAATAAGCGTCATTCTTGCTTTCAGATGCAAAACATTGTTAACTTTGATCAAATATATACAAAAAAAATATTAATATTTACAGTACATAATTAATATTATTAGATAAATCGTTGAATATATTTTCATAATAATTTTATTTAGAGATACAAATATTGGTAATATTTTCTACAAATCTAGTCAAACTTAAGAAAGTTTGACCGACACGAATGCCATAACAGTAAGTGTTATTCTCATTTCCCCAGAAGTCAAACACTTTTAACTTTGAATAAATACATCCAAGAAGATATTAATATTTATACTACATAATTAATGTCATTAGATAGATCGTTGAATCTATTTTTATAATAAACTTATTTAGAGATATAATATTACATTTTTTTTGCAGACTTAGTTAAATTTAAGAAAATTTGACCGACACGAATAAACGTCACTTAATTTAGGACCAAGTTAGTACATCGGTGGAATCTACAATATGATAAGACCTCGCAGCCTAGAATTCAATTAGCACATGATCTAACACAAGTGACACTGAATACTCCTACAAAAACGTTTGATTGCAGTTCGAAACAGCCCATCAGCGTAACGACATTTCTGCACTGCACTGCTCCGCAGGTGACCACCGCCACCAGCCCACCACAAGCACACGCGGGCCACACTCTTCTCCCCGCCACTTCCCTCCTCAGAGCTGCCTGCTTGCTTGCTCGAGCTCCCACGGCTCCAGTGCCCCCGACACATCAGCCTCCTCTCCCTCCACTCGCCTTCCTTTTTGACGTTCCAGGATCATCCATGGCATCCAAACCAACTAGGGAAGAAGACTAGCATCGAACCCGCTTCTCACAGCATCCAACCGCCCAAGAAACAAACACAGCCGTGGCGACCTAGGTGGGAGGGGGAGGGCAAGGGCGGGATAGGGAGGCTGGCGGCGGTGGTGAGCGCATGGAGGAGGACGAG